AGTAACAGTTATATAATTTTTTATTGTAATTTCACACTCAACAATATAACTATTATATAAATGCAATATAACACACATATTATAACTGTTACATACTATTTACTGGGTTGTCCTTTGGTGCATCCGGGTTATATTAAGTTGCATTAGAATTTTATTATAATGTGTGTATGTTGTGTAGGTGTGTACAAACATACTTTTGTAGCTGATATTAAAATTGTTAATACGACCCGGGCGCGCCAAGGTTATTTTTATTTTTAATGAATCTTCATAACTTTTTTTTCAATTCCTTGTATGTTTGGATTAAATTTTTTGTTTCTTTCTTAATTTAATATAAAGTTAGTAAGTTAACGCGCGTTATTTGTATTGCTGTTATTTTTAAAAATAATAATAACCGTGACAACCCAGTAAATACTAGGTACGGAACTAAGTTTCCGGGTTTTTTTGGTCAATGAAAAATAGAAAATTTCAAGAGAAATACAAAAAATGACTTATTCAAAGTATTGTCCCTCGTTAGCTACACATTTTTGCCATCTCTCTAGCAATACATGAATACCGCGACGATAAAACGACGCGTCTTTGGACCGAAACAATTCATCCAACCAATTTTGCACTTCTTCGAAATTAGCCAAGTGTTGCCCAGCCAAGCCATGCGCCATCGACCGGAACAAGTGATAATCGGAAAGGGCCAGGTCTGGCGAATACGGCGGGTGCGGTAGCAGATCCCATTTCAGCGTTTTGATGGTGTCCTGGACGATGGAAGTGCGATGGCACGAAGCGTTGTCATGCTGCAATATCACTCGTTCGTGTCTCGTGTCCCATTCTAGCCATTTTTCGAGCAATGCATGGTTCAAATTGATCAGTTGTTGTCGGTAGCGATGCCCATTGACAGTTTCGCCCGGTTTCAGCAGCTCATAGTACACGATTCTTTTCTGGTCCCACCAAACGCAGAGCATTGTCTTCTTTCCGAAGCGATTGGCTGTGCCGTCGATGTTGATGCTTCGCCAGGTGAAAGCCACGATTTTTTACGTTTAGGATTCTCGAAACATATCTACTTCTCATCGCCAGTAACAATTCGATGCAGGAAACTCTTTCTTTCATGCCGCAAAAGCAAAATTTCGGAAGTGGCTCTTCGATTTTCCATCTGTCTCTCAGTCAATTCATGCGGCACTCATTTTCCTTCCTTTTGAATTTTTCCCATGGCATGTAAACGTTTGGAAATACCTTGACGAGTCATGTTTAATGCCTCCGCAAGTTGATCTTGTGTTTGCGTATCATCTTCATCCAATAACGCTTGCAGATCGGCATCCTCAATTGTTTTTGGTCTTCCGGAGCGCTCCTTGTCTTCAGTGTTGAAATCGCCACTTCTGAAGCATTTAAACCAATCTTCACAGGTAGTTTTCGATGGTGCATGTTCGCCGTAGGTCTCCTCAAGCAAACGACGTGCTTCAGCTGCACTTTTTTTCAAGTTAAAGCAGAAAAGCAAAGCTTCCCGCAAATGCTGTTTATTTGGCACAAAACTCGACATCTTCGTTGTTAGAAAAAATATTTTTGCGTTGCGGTATGTGTTGGTATTACGACTGGTTATTGTTAAGAGATGTCCAAGCTATAAAAAACACAACTTCAGACATGTATGTCGACTACATGTGTCGTTAGTGCCATCCATGTGTGAAACCCGGAAACTTAGTTGCGCACCTAGTAAATATCAAATATATAATATGACGTAATATATTATTGTTTTGTTTACAAGAATACGTATGATAATGAAACATAAAAATAAAAATAAAAGAATAAATTTCATTCATAAATCAACAATCAATAACCTACTTACCTGTTCTAATGGGCAGTAAAATTTCGTCACGTATATCACGCATATCTTGATTTCCCTTTCTTTCTTCCTCGTTTTCTCGTTCGGCTTTTCTTATGAGCTAATCACTGATCATCACTTTTCTCATTGAAATATCACTACATATGTCAAACACACTCGTACACAACTTTCGAATTGTGACGCCTCTGACAATGAGCGAACCCATTCGTGGCGCCTCTGACGATGGATGCACAGCGCCTCTAACAGAAAAAATGTGAGATGGACATTTTCGGCGTGACATTTTTACAATTCCTAGCGAATGTGAAATCTTCGTAACTTGAACTTTGAACTAGAATATCTCGACTCACAGGATACGTAGAGCAAAAATGAAGACAGTTTTATTAACTAATTTAGGCCCAAGGAATCGATTGAGAACACTCAGAACTGCACCGGTTTAGCGGTTATAGTGAAACTCTGAATTGTGCTCCCCTCCAACTAGTTGGTTCGCATGAATATATCACGGCAGTCAAGAGACAGTTCAGGAGCGTAATAGCAAAAAGCGTACTTTGGCGTAAACCATTGCCGTGGTTTTTGATACAGCTAACAGTATTTTCAACATAACTTCTGAAATAAACGTGTCCGCACCTACGTCCATATAACATTTTTTCATCCTTCAGATATGAGGAATATCTCCTTAAATTTTTTACATATCTTTTTAGGACAGCCTGTATATGTTAGGTTTCTCAGTTGGCGCTACTGTTTTAATATATCACTTCTTTTGTATAGTAGAATAGTGTTGTAGAGTTTTATTATAGTTATAAGTTTTACTTGTAAAAACTTATGTACACATATATACATTTAAAAAATAATTTGAATTTAAAATTTTTAAAAATAACACAATATGTGTTGCGCTTGTACTTGGCGCCTTTTTTTACTTTTTTGTTTAAAAAGGTAAGTTTTATATAAGTGAAGAAAATACTTCAATAAAAAATAAACTTTTGTTTCCTATTTTTTAGTTATTTTATTTTTCCTCTTTTTTTTGTTTATTTGCTTTATTGACATAGACATTTGTAAACTTTAGTAAAGTAATCTAATTATGCATTTAGTTTTGCGGAAAAAATATTGGTCAACATAAAACTAATATTTTTTTATTTCTTTTACAAAAAATTTAAACTCCTTAAAACTTTGTATACATGTTTTCTTATAGCTAATTCTATTAACTGCTGCAAAAAATCGCGATTTTGGGTAAAGTAGTACTTTTGGACATTTACCTGATATATTAAACAATAAAATATAACTTATTAAATTCGTTGATTTCGATTTTGGCTGAGATATATGTGTTTCCTGCCTTTTTTTTTATGATTTTGAAATTTCCAAAAGTCAACGAATGAACAAAAGTTAGAACACTATTGTAACACTATTGTAACAGTATATATTCCAAGAAATGGAATAAAAAATCTACTATTTTTTATAACAGTATATATTCTTGACAAATAGAGTGAAAATATTTAGCCACTTTTTCTTCTGACATATAGTTACGAGATATTGTAAGCTAAATCTTGAAGAAGTTACCAAGTTTTTCTTAAAATAATATTATCTTAAAAAAGATATTAGACAATTAAAAAAAAAATTCAGACAATAGTCGGCCAAATTAATTCGTAGAAAATGATGATGTAATAAAAAATAAGAGTTTCCATTTAAAAATTTCAAAGTGATCTTTACATAATTTTGATAATACTATTCAAGGTCATGTTAATATTGTTATGTAATGTGTTATTTATAATTTTATAACTTTTATATGAAACATTTTTCTCTGAAATGCTTTATTTTCGAGATATTTGACCATTCCAGAACTTTTGAGACACTCTGTATATATATCATATACCCTGTAATATGTAAACGTGTAATATATAATATACGGGGTGTTTCAGACCACCCGGTTCACCCGATTTTTTTGTAAACGCGACATTTTAGAAAAAAATATTCCAGACAAAAGTTGTAGGGCTTCAAAGGATCTATTTACTGTCGCCGTAAATTTGACTTTGAGATGACCTTGAAAAGCCCAATCAAGATCAACATAAAAATTTTAAACGGAAACCCCAATTTTTTATTATACCGTCTTTTTCCATCAATTAATTTGAACAACTTTTGTCTAAAACATTTTTTGTCTAATATTTTTTAAATATATAAAGGAAATTTGCTCTTTTTCAATATTTAACTTACAATATCTCAATAACTATTTGTCCGAAGGAAAAATGGTATTAGATATTTTTGCTTTATTTAGTTTGTAGTTATTATTTAGTATTTAGTTATTTTGAAATTTCAAAATCATCAAATTAACAGAAATCAGAGCACTATAGTACCAATATATTCTTGAGACCAAATGGAATAAAAAAGTCTAGTACTATGTTTCTTCCGACAAACAGTTAGCGAGATATCGTAAGTTAAATATTGGAAAGTTATTAAGTTTTTCTTAAATATCTAAAAAAATATTAGGCAAATAAAAAAATGTTTTAGACAAAAGTTGTTCAAATAAATTGGTAGAAAAAGGTGTAATAAAAAAATTGAGAGGATCATGTAAAGATCAATTTGAAATTTTTAAATGGAAACTCATTTTTTATTATATCATCATTTTCTACGAATTAATTTGGCCAACTATTGTCTGAATTTTTTTAGTTGTCTATCTTTTTTAAGATAATATTATTAGACAAAAATTCTTTAAATTAATTGGTAGAAAAAGACGATGTAATAAAAAATTGGGGTTTCCGTTTAAGATTTTCATGTTGATCTCGACTAGGTTTTCAAGGTCATTCCAAAGTCAAATTTATAGCGTCAGTAAATAGATTCTTTAAAACCTTACAACTTTTGCCTGAAACATTTTTTTCTAAAATGTCGCATTTACGAAAAAATTGAGTGACCCGGGTGATCTGAAAGACCCCGTATATTACATGTTTATAAATTACTCGTTTTCATTTTCTCAGTATTGCAATTTTGTATGTCAATAAAATGTCACTAAATAATGAGATAATTATCATGTATTTGTTTCGTAATCTTAATTGCTTCATGATATCACGAAATCGCGTCATTAAAGTACAATCAAATAATGTATTAAGAGTTGCAGCTGGGTAAATATCTTAAAAAGTATATAAATTGTTCGAGGAATATAATTCTTTTCATTATTGAGCTTGTAAAGGTTTCGTAGTAAAAAACGTAGTAATACGCGATGAAGCGATTAGCGTACATCTTAATGATTATATTTGCGGTAATAGGTGAGTTCTGTAACAATGAGATGTAACAATATGATATAATCATTTCATTTCTGTAAATATTAAATTTTTTAAGTTTGTGGTAGTAATAGTTTTATAATTAATAATATCTGTATTTTATATAATCATTAATCATATAAAAACATGTTATTTTAATCTACGAAATATTATTTGTATGATAGTCAGAAATACGCATTACTCAATGTTATATTGTTATATTGGATGACTGCATAACTTTGTGCCCGATTTTCGTAAATGGCGCTAACTTACTGCATGGCGGAGTTCCGATGTTTTTGTTTGGTTATGTTGCATGCACTGAGTAGGTGACAGTGTTTTGTGTCACTTTAGCGTCAGGCATCAAATAAGTCGATTTGGTTCAAATAAGTCGATTTGTGTGTAAGAGAAATTTTTTAAAATGGAGAACGAAAAGGTGCATTTGCGGCATGTAATACTATACGAATTTCGGAAAGGCATGAGTGTTGGGGCTGCACAAAAATACATTCAGAGCGTTTATTTGGACCGTGTTCCTTTTTTTTTATCAGGGTGGGGAAATCCTCATGGATACCCCTGACCCTTGGGGGGGTCGACGGTTATGCCGGACTCTTACCGGCTTAAATCCCATCGGGATGCCATTCTTCGGGATTCCAACTGGGATAGTCGGAGGAAACTAACTCAATATCGTGCGTGTCTCCGACTGGACCGTGCTCCTGCTCTCCGGACAGTTAAAAAGTAATTTGGCAGATTTCGAAATGGTGATTTCAACTGGGAAGATCAACCCCGCTCTGGACGGCCTTCTGGCATTGATGACGACATTGTGTGTGCTTTAATGGAAGAAAATCTAAGGATTACAACTGAGGAGATTGCTGAGAGGCTGAAAATCGATAATTCCACCGCGTTTCGCTATTTAAAAAAGCTTGGATATGTTTCCAAGCTCGATATATGGGTGCCGCATTTCTTGACTGAAAGGAATAAGCTGAATCGCATGAATGTCATTTCTCTCCTCGCACGTAACAGAAAAAAGCCTTTTTGGATCGAATAGTAATAGGCGATGAGAAGTGGATTCTGTACAACAACGTACAGCGAAAGAGGACCTGGAAAAAAGCAGCTGAAAGTGCAGAACCCGTCGCAAAAGCTGGCTTGCATCCACTGTTTGTTATATGCGTTGTTGGCACAACGCTTCCACGCTTTTCCTCGGAGTTTCCTCGATGACCGTGGGCGAAAGAAACGCTTCTCTCTCAGTTTCGCATTTATTGGTTAGGACCACTCAAATTATGAAGGCTGCTTTATGTTGGTTACGCATCTTTATTCTTGAGATGGTAACGAGTTATCGCTCTGGCCGCTAGCGGATGAATGCTCACATTTGGGAGCCACGTGACAAAACACGATCGACCCGGGAGCCGAAAGATCCCGGAAATGCCTGAGGCTCAAAGACAATGGCAACGCTGTGAGTTCGACGCGCTACGTTACACTGAGAACAAAAAGGACGCACGAATCCTTAACATCCATTGACGGTGTTATTGTGTGTTTGGTAGGATTGCAGGGGAATTATTCACTTCGAGCTATTTCGACGCGATGAAACACAATCACGGCTGACAAATACTGTGAGTAATTCATTAGACTCGATGCGGCTATTCGAGAAAAACGTCCGGTTTTGGCCAATTGGAAAGGCATCATTTTCCACCACGACAATACTAGACTGCACGTCACCCAACAGACGCTACGAAAACTGCAGGATTTGTAATGGGAAATTCTCCAGAATCCATCATATTCTCCAGATATTGCGCCTTCAGATTTTCATCTGTTCCGGTCTTTGCAGAATAGTTTGAATGGCGAAAATCTTAAGTCGGAGGAAGTTGTCGAAAACCACCTCACGAACTTTTTTCAAGGAAAATCGAGCTCTTTCTTAAAAAATGGAATCGATAAGCTTGTAAATCGTTGGAAAACAATTGCAAATAAGAATGGAGACTATATAATCGAATAATATTGGGAATACAAATTAGTTTGGTCCGTTTTTTGTGTTAAAAATATATTTATTTCAAAACAAAATGAATGAACAGATCAATTAAAGTATTTTCCATCGCTGGTTACTACTTTCTCCCATTTCTCAGGCAATTTTCGAATTCCATCTCGAAAAAATGATTCGTCTTTTGAGGCGATCCAAGTTTGGAGCCAATTTTCGATTTCTGCGAAAGGAGTGAACCGGTGACCTGCCAAATCGTGCTGCATTCTTCGGAACAACTAGTAATCAGAAGGAGCAATATCCGGAGAATACGGCGGGTGCGGTAAAACATCCCATTTGAGCGTTTCCAAATATTTTTTTACGACTTTTGCGACATGAGGCCGAGCGTTGTCATGAAGAAGAATAACTTTATCATGTCTTTGCTCGTATTCCGGACGTTTTTCTCGCAATGTACGGCTCAAACGAATCAATTGTAGCCGATACCTATCGTCCGTAATGGGATCTCCAGGTTTCAGCAGCTCATAGTAAACAACACCCTTTTGGTCCCACCAGATACAGAGCATGATCTTCGAACCATGTATGTTCGGCTTTGGTGTTGATGTTAAGGTCGATGGCAACAATTGACCGGGCTTGGCGTAGTATTTTTCTTCTTGGGATTTTCGTAAAATATCTACTTCTCATCTCTAGTTACAATCCGATGCAAAAAACCTTTTCTTTGTTGCCTTTGAATCAACTGCTCGCAAGTGAAAAATCGCCTTTCAACGTCTTTCGGTTTCAGTTCATAAGGCACCCAATTTCCTTGTTTTTTAATAAATCCCATGTCTCTCAATCGTACGGAAACGGTTGAGTCACTCCCAATGATTCTGCAAGCTCCTCTTGCGTTTGACTCTGATCTCCTTCGAGTAATGCCTCTAATTCTTTGTCCTCGAATTTTTTTGGCTGTCCAGAGCGAGGCTTGTCTTCGACTTTGAAATCTCCATCCATGAAACGTCGAAACCATTCCCTACATGATTTATCAGTTAGAGCAGCGTCACCATACCAGGTATGTAAATATGAAACCGGAATTTTTGTATAGAAAATACACGTTTATTGCATGAAAATGATAAAAATATTTTATTCGAAGTATTGCCCATCGCTAGCTATACATTTTTCCCACCTGTCTGACAATTTGTGGATGCCACGCCAAAAAAACTGTTGCTCTTTTGAGACAAACCAGTCATCGAGCCATTTTCGTAAGAAGTGAAGCGCTGCTCAGCAAGTGCGTGTCCCATCGATGCAAATAAGTAGTAATCGGAGCCAAGTCTGGTGAGTAAGCTGCATGCGAAAGTATTTCCCAACTAAACGCCTCAATCGTTTCCTTGACCAGTTTTGCTGTGTGTGATGGTGCATTATCATGAAGCAAAATCACTTTGTGTTGCCTTTTTTGATATTCTGGTCGTTTTTCACGCAAAGCTTGATTCAAATCGATCATTTGTTGTCGGTAGCGTTCAGTATTAACGGTTTCGCCAGGTTTTAGCAGCTCATAGCGAATAGATCACATCCTTCTAATCCCACCAAACACAGAGCATTGTCTTCCGTCCAAAGCGATTTGGCCTTGCAGTCGATGTCGATGGTTCGCCTGGAGTTACCCATGATCTTTTACGCTTAGGATTCTCAAAATATATCCACTTTTCATCGCCAGTCACAATTCGATGGAGAAATGACTTTCTTTTGTACCTGGCGAGCAGCATTTCGTAAGTGGCTTTTCGGTTTTCCTGCTGTCTTTCATTCAATTCATGTGGAACCTATTTTCCCATCTTCTGGATCTTTCCCATGGCTTTCATACGTATGGAGACGGCTTCTCGTGTCACATTTAATTGATCCGCGAGTTGTTGTATTTGAGTGTCATCCTCATCCAATAATGCTTGCAATTCGCTGTCTTCAAACTTTTTCGGTGGTCTTCCACGTTCTTCGTTTCTCACGTCAAAATCGCCATGTTTGAATTTTTTAAACCACTCATAGCACTGTGATTTACCAAGAGCATGCTCACCGTAAGCTTCGACAAGCATTCGATGCGATTCTGCAGTAGTTTTCTTCAAATGGTAACAGAAAATCAATGCTGTCCGCAAATCGTAGCTTCCAGGCACAAAATTCGACATGTTCAACGCTATTACAAACTATGCTGTTGTATGAAACTTGTATTGTTGTGAGTTGAAAACCTTTGTCAGATGTCAACAAATGGAAATGGTGCCAATGACGCGGTTTGACGGTAACTACATTGACAGCTAGGGCCATCTATGGGCAAATTCCGGTTTCATATTTACAGACCTGGTAAACTTCAGCAAGCATTCGATGGGCTTCAGCTGCACTTTTCTTCCAATGAAAGCAGAAAATTAAAACCTCCCGCAAATGTTGCTTGGTTAACACAAAATTCGACATTTTCAATACTGTAAAAAGCAAGGTTTTTGTATGAAACTCAAAGCGATATAAACTGAATATTATTGGCAGATGTCTAACCTCTCTGAAACCGCCAAAATCGGCAGTCACTATGAACCTTCATGAACTATGAACATTCATAACAGCCGGAGCCATCTTTTGAAAACGGACCGAACTAATTTGTACACCCAATAAAACTGTATTCTTTAAAATTTAACATATTGAAGTTTATCTTTAAATCGGGCACGAACTTATGCAATCATCCAGTATAACTGTTTATTGTATACCAGTGTTCTATAAATGATTCTGCAGAATTCAATTCTTGTATAAAATTAAACATTTTATTCTTTAGTTTACATTTCTTAGTTCGCACGATTCCATTTTGATTTATATTTACAGGTATTCACGCAGATGAGCCAGAAAGATTAGTAAATGCTATTAACACCATTATAGACAAGTTTCCATTTGCTATTTCTATACAAATAGGGGAAAAGCATCATTGTGGTGGTGCTATAATCAGTAAACGCTTCATCTTAACTGCTGCCCATTGCTTGCAACCATTCAAAGGGACACCTATGATGAATAAAATGAAAGTTCTCAGCGGAACTACTACTCTCAATAACGGTGGAATTCGTTATGATATCGAAGATATATATTACCATGAGAAGTACAACACAGAAAAACTAGTTGAAAACGGGTACGATATCGGTTTGATTAAGGTAAAGCTTTACAAATTTAAATTACTATCATTTTTCTTTATTTGTTCTCACATAATCATGACGCGAAACAGCATATATAATACCGCTATTGTATTCAAAAAGTTCCAGGACAAATCAAATAAAATACAAAATTTGTACTTATTTATCAATATCTATCCGTCATTTTCAAAGTAATCTTCATTACTCGCAATATATTGGTTTGGCATCTAAATAATTGCGGATCTTTTTAAGAAAAAAAAGACAATTTTTTCATGAAACGAAATAACTTTATACAGTAATATATTATCCATTTTTATCAATGACCTTTTGCCATCTTTCAGGCAATATCATAAGTATATAATATCTCCAAAAACATAAGTAGTCTATTGTCTACAGATTTCAATCGCCAGTGTTCATTGTTCAGCTTCAAAAACGCTATTTTAGCAATTCTGAGATATTTTTTGAGATTAGGAACGAAATCTGACGTGATGAGGTAAAATGAACAACGGATTCGGATTCAGCGACCCCGAAAATATATAGGTATGGTAGTGTAGTTTAGCGAACAAGCAACTTTTTTTGTATGCTTGTAGAATTTTCCTACCAACTGATTAAACAGTCAATAAGAAATAATACTTGGGCGTCATAAGGTGCTTGTGTGAATCAATCTGCAATAAATGGTTGGACTTGTAAGAAAACAACATTATATCGAAATGGACTTTATATCGTGATAACGCATTGGCTTATATATGTTCCGTAAGTCGAGGTCTATCGCTCAGGAAATGAATGAGGACCCAAAAACATGAAAGAAAGTTGATATGAACATAGGTCAGGAAATACGTTGTTCTCAAGTTATCGCTATTCTTACTTGAAATTTGAAATTGCTCTGCTTTCGAATTTCTTTGTCAAAATTGAAATAGGAGATGGTTTTCATGAGTTTTATAACATAATTAAAGTCAAATAAAAATTGCGGACTACTTTAGCACTATTTAGCGCTACCAAGGTACAGCCCGCTTAGCATCTCTTAGTAGACATCAGGACCCCATAAATCATCATTCCTGTGATATTGGGCTGTGGGCTGCAGCGACACCCTATATATCGATATTTGTTTCTAAATGTATAGCCAAAAACTTGATTAATGTTATTCCGCAAACACAATATTCATTTAATTCAGCAACGTTCGATCTTTTCTTATTTTTCAGATTGAAACTTTTAAATACAGATTTCCAATACGTTGTTTTTAGTCTATTATAGCGATAAAACAAAATTCGATGGACAAGTTAAATCATTTAGATCATCTCAAATCACCCAAATCATCCCAAAAACCAAGTTTCATTGGTCTTATGAAGATTGAAAAAAAAATTAGCATAAATATTGAGTTGGCAACTATTTTAATATAATTATAAAATTTCGGATTTAACTGATAGATGGCGTTAGTTGGATTTTTAAGTATATTTACGTATTCGAAATGTCAAACTTATATTGTTGTTTGATAGTTAATATTTCAATTGGCATTCAGTAAAAAAATTATATCGATCGGTCGTGTAGTTTTTGTTTGGCGTCGGTTGAAAAATGGAAAAGCAAAACGAGCATTTTTGTCATATTTTGCTTTTTTACTTCCGTAAAGGAAAAAACGCATCGCAAGCTCACGTACTGTGTTAAGGTTACGTACTGTGTATGATGACGAAACCTTAAAAGAACGGTGTCAAAATTGGTTTGCTAAATTCCGTTCTGATGATTTTTTACTCAAAGATGAACACTCTGGTTGTCCAGGTGAAGTTGATAATGATCAAATCAAAGCAATAATCGATACGGATTGTCATAGCACAACACGTGAGATTGCAGAGAAGCTCAATGTATCACATACATGCATTGAAAAGCGTTTAAAACAACTTTTCTACGTAAAAATCTCGAGTTATGGGTTCCTCATGAATTTAAAGAAATTCATTTAACATAACGTATTGCCGTCTGCGATTTGCTTATGAAATGTAACGAAAATGATCCATGTTTGAAACGATTGATAACTGGCGATAAAAAATGAGTTGTTTACAACAATATCAATCGAGAAAGATCGTGGAGCAAGCAAGATGAATCAGCACAAACAACATCCAAAGCTGATATTTAACAAAAGAAAATTATATTATTAGTTTAGTGGGATTACAAAGGAATTGTCTACTTTGAAATTTTACAACGCAACAAAACGATCGATTCAAATGTTATATGCTACGATTAAAGTGATATGCTACGATTAAAGTGATAAATTGGTTATTATGTATTAGGAGTACAAATAAGTTTCCGCCGTTTTCTATCAAAAATTAGGAATTTATTGTGAAAGAACGGTACATTACGTTTTATTCAAAGTATTGTCCATCACTAGCCATTACTTTTTCCCATCTTTCTGGCAGCATTCGGATACCACGTTGGAAGAACTCTTCATCTTTTGAGGCTATCCACGAATCGATCCAATTTTTAGTATCTTCATATGATGTAAAGCGCTGCTTAGACAGGCCATGTGCCATCGACCGGAACAAGTGATAATCGGAAGGGGCAATGTCTGGTGAATACGGCGGGTGGGGTAGGACTTCCCAATTAAGTGTTTCCAAATAGGTTTTGACCGGTTTTGCAACATGTGGCCGAGCGTTGTCATGTAGGAGAATAATTTTGTCGTGTTTGGATTAGTAATGGGCGCGTTCTTCCTTGAGTGCTCGGCTTAATCTCATTAATTGTGTTCGGCAGAGAGCTCCAGTAATGGTTTCGCTCGGTTTGAGCAACTCATAATACACGACACCAAGCTGATCCCACCAAATACACAGCATGAGTTTTTTTCCATGAATATTCGGTTTGGCTGTTTTCCATGAATATTCGGTTTGGCTGTCCATGTTGAAGCATGGCCAGGTGGTCTCTATGATTTTCTCTTCTTTGGATTATCGTAGTGGGTCCATTTTTCATCACCAGTGACTATACGATGCAAAAAACTCTTTCTTTTATGCCTGGCAGGCAGCATTTCATACGTGCAAAATCGGCGTTCAACGTCTCTCGGCTTCAGTTCATATGGAACCCAATTTCCTTGTTTTTTAATCATTCCCAACGATTTTAAACGATGTGAAATTGCTTGTTGAGTCACTTCTAATGTAAGTGCAAGTTCTTCTTGCGTTTGGCACGAATCTTCCTCCAATAATGCTTCCAATTCCGTGTCTTCGTACACTTTCGGCCTTCCACTACGTTCTTTGTCTTCCACGTCAAACTCATCGTTTTTAAACTTTTGAAACCACTCACGACAACTTCTCTCACTTAAAGCAGTCTCACCATATGCTTCTACAAGCAATCGATGCGCCTCAGCTGCAGATTTCTTCAAATTAAAGAAGTAAATCAAAAGTTCCCGCAAATGACGCTTATTCGGCACAAAACTTGACATTTTCGCACGAAAAAATTATGTGATGCTGATACGGAGTCGCTAATACTTCAAGGTTATGTTGTTACCAGATGTCCAAACTTACGATATTACGTTTTACATCTGACAATTTCAACATAACCTTCTGGTGAGGCCATCTTTTGTCAAACGGCGGAAACTTATTTGTCCTCTCCTAATATAATAATTGTCTTCTCCTAATATAATAACCAGTTATTATGTATAATAGTAACCAATAGCTTTGGTTAATGTGATTAAGTACATGCAATTTATCACTTTAACCGGTTATTTTACATAACCAAACTTTATTGGTTATAGTTATAAGTGACATTTAGAAAATGATTTTGGAGAAACTTTTGAAAACCATTTATGTCCAATTGTCATGAATATTGGCAGAAATACTCCAAACGATATCAAAATGTTACAAAGTTATGAACAATTAAACCTACGTATAAGTTGCAAGTGCGTTTTGCATTGCGCGCTGCGCGCACGATTGTTGAAACTTACACGTAAGTTAAAAACTCGTAAGCTGCACGCGCGGTTATTAAAACTTACGTGTAATTGGGTGCGCACAGCGCGCGATGCAAAACGCACTTGCAATTTACGCGTGGGTTTTAATAACCGTGCGTATAGCTTACGCGCTTTTAACTTACGCATGGGCTCCAACAACCGCTCATGCAACGCGCGATACAAAACGCAGTTGCAACTTACGTGTTGGTTTTAATAACCGCGCATAATAACCGATTATTATGCATAGTAACTGGATTTATCACTTTAACCATAACATATACATTCAATAACTAACCAAACTGGACAATGCAATTCAAGGAAAGCGACCAGAATTGGCAAAAAAGATATTGTGTTCCACCATGATGAATGCAAGGCCACACACATATTTGGTCACTCGGCAAAAATTATTGGAGCTTGGTTAGGATGTGTTGTCATATCCATCATATACCACCTAACCTTGCACCACCAGATTATTGTTTATTTCGTTTTTTGCAAAACTTTTTCAATGGTAAAAATTTCAATAATGATGATGATGTCAAATCGCACTTGGTTTAGTTTTTCGCCAGAAGAATTAAAAATTACAAGTTTTATGAACGTGGAATTATGATACTGCCTGAAAGATGGCAAAAGGTCATTGATAAAAATGGACAATACATTACTGTATAAAGTTATTTTGCTCCATGAAAAAATTGTCTTTTATTTTTTTTAAATATCCGCAATTATTTAGTTGCCAAACGAATATTTTTGGTCGGTACTGTACATGGTTTGATATTTCAATTTATTTTTTTAATGATAGGATTTTAATGATAGGAACGATTTAAAAGTGTTGATCCTCCGCAGGAATTCCCTATATATAGTATATAGTATATATATTTAGTATACATTTGATAACTTAACTATAATCAATGAAGGTGTAAAGCTGATTGAGATAATGAATGAAAGTAATAAGTCAAATACCATTTTACAAAAATCGTAAAAATGGCCGAATTACGCGTGGAAAAATTCAGATAAATCAACGTGTAGCGGTAGTGAGTAGTGTATTCGGTCTCTCGAGCTTATAGTGGCTTATTTCGTCTAATAATAGCTGCCGGCGTGCGATAAGAAGAAAGAAGGACCGCACGCGGAAAAATATTTTCACTAAGCTTGCGTCTACAGAGTACGTCACATAGCATCGCGCACGCGCTATTTCTCTACTATTCTGACTATGAATACCGGCCGTATAATCTCTAAAACCTTATGGCTACGGCATGAACTAAAGTAACATCTAGAACCATCTGTTCCCAGAGTCAGAAAGTAATGAACTTCCTAATAATTATGTGAAATTTTGATATATTTATGAAATTTCTTTTATATAAATAATATACATAAAAGAAATTTATGTATATTAGTATATTAGAAACTTATATGTATATTAGAAATATATATTAGAAACTTATATAATATACGTCAAAGAAATTTTATGAATATCTCGAAATTTCACATAATTATTAGGAGGTTCATTACTTTCTACCTCTGGAAACAAAGGTTCTAGATGTTATTTTAGTTCATGCCGTAGCTATAAGGTTTTAGAGATTGTACGGCCGGTATTCATAGTCAGATCTTATATTTAAGATCGTCTTAAGTTTATCTTCAGATGTCAATCGTTTCGAGAGGGCTACATATCCTAGGGATAGTTCATAAGGGAGGAAAATGAGTGTCTCATCAATTGTCAGAAAGCTCGAAGTTAAATCGTTTGAACATTTGCATTTTCTTTCTTGCTAATATAAGAAGAAGAGTTTTTTGTAGTGTATCGTGACTAGAGACAAAAAATAGATGTATTATGAAAATCCAAAACGGAGGAAGTCGTGATGAACCCCGGTCAACCTTCGACATCGATACTAAAATATTCGACCAAAATATTCACAGAAAGAAAATAATGCTATGCGTTTGGTGGGATATGGAAGGCGTAGTATACCATGAGTTTCTGAATCACAACAAAGCGGTTAATGCTACACTTTATCAACGCCAACTGGAGCGACTGAATGACGAATTGATGTAAAAAAGGCCGTCAATAGTCAGTAATAAGCAGAAAGTGATTCTCCAACATGACAACGCTAGACTACATGTGGCAAGAACGGTTAAACACATTGATAGGCTGGGAATGAGAAATTTTCCTGCACCTAACATATTCCCCCGATCTTGCTCTTTTCGATTTTCATTTGTTCCGCTCTATGCAACACGCCTTGGAAGACACGCACTTTGACAATTTAAAAGAACTTCGAAAATGGGTCGATAATTGGATCGCCTCAAAAGATAGGTTTTTCTTTCGACGAGAGATCCAGCCTTTACCAGAAAGATGGTCAAAAGTAATCGAAAACAATGGCAATTACCGTGATTGATGATCGATTATAATATATTATGAAAATAATAAATATTCCAAATAAAAAACGGTACAAATTAATGTAACTCCCTAATATCTATAAAGTGATAGGAGTCCTTGTGCTCAGATTGACATGCTTTACCTTCACGCGCGGATTAGGTCAGACATTCTGTACATAGGAAATTTCTATGAAGAATTAACACTATTAGATTGTTCCTACTTTTAAAAACTTGAATTGAGATATTTACGAAACGTCAAAAACAAAGTCCATAATGGACGCAGTACCAATCCAAGAGTTATATTAAATGATAAAAATTAATATTCTCTACAAACTTTATTACCTCTAAAATTTCAGATTTTATATAGACCTAAGTCTCAGTTCAAAATTTTATTATTAATTGTTTGTAATTCATTAAAAAGATCATCATAGCCGGCTCTACAGCCTCAGATGGACCTTGGCCTACACAACAAATTGCCTCCGCTTCTCTCTGTCCATCGCCGTCGACCTCCACAACTTCATCCCCAGCGCTCCCGCGTCAGTTTCCAAGTCGTCTATCCACCTCCTTCTCGGTCTGCCCACCTTCCTAGTCCCGTACATACGTCCCACTAGCTTTTTCTTAGTGGTCTTGGCGTTGTCCATTCGTATTACATGTCAGTCAGCCCATCTCAGTCGGGCTCCTTTAGCACACCCAACGTTATTTGGTTCCTTGTACAGCTCGTACAACTCGTCGTTATAATGTATACGTCATTCATTTCCATTGTTTATTGGACCGTAGATTCTTCTCAGAATCTTTTTCTCAAAGCATGCAAGTCGGTCTCTATCCTGTTTTGTCATTGTCCACATCTCGCACCCATACAATACCACCGATCTTATCAATGTTTTATATATTTTTATTTTGGTGTGTTTTGGTACCGAGCGTGACCTCATTATCGGTATCAATGCGTAATAGGCTTTGTTTCTGTTCGCGATCGTCTCGGCGTTTTCCGGGAGATCGCTAGATTGCTTGGCTCCGCTCAGAAATGAGCGCGAGAGACGGTGGAGAATTCAAAGCACAGGCAAGTCAATAGTTGATCGATGTTCACGACAAAAGAAACTCTTTCTTTTAACGCAGTTCAAATTTATTCAGAATTAACAAAATTAACAAAATTAACAATTACTTTTGGAGCAACAACTCGCAGTAACAAAAGAACGAAAGATTTTACGGGCGATAATTTGGCGTAAATTTCGTCTGCGTGAAAAAACGTAAGAGAAATGAATAGATATGATGGCGAGATCGCCAAGCGCCTGGAGAGAGAGTGAAAACATCTTTACCAAACTGAGATTGCTTACAAGAAAACGTCTGGCCGTTGTTCGAATCTTTAACGCTTTTATCGGAGCTCGTAGTCGTTAGTTTGTTTACAAGTCAGTCGCTGAATTCAACAATAGGATCTCGGACGACCGCCGTCGAACGTTCTGCTAGGAGAGGGAGATCTACTTTTCGATCAAAAGGATTTATTTTCAATTATATTTTGACAAAAGCGAGCACGCGTTCAACATGTGTCGCGGTCATGTGATTGATCCGTCTGGCGAATATAGATACGTGATGCGGAGCGTGATCATGATTCTCTTTCGATCGTCTCTTCTGCCAGAATATTTTGGAATGGTTTGACTTTGTCCATTCGAATCTCGAACAGTTTCCCTTGTTGATTCTGATCTTTATCTCTGCACTTATTGTACCCTCTTTGTTGACTAGTGTTCCTAGATACTTGAATTCCTCCACTGCTTCAAATGTCAATTTGTCTCCACACTTCAGATTGCCGTTTGCTCTTGGTTTGTTTTCTGCTGCTGTGACTAGATATTTTGTCTTATCGCTATTGATTCTCAGGCCGAATTTGGTCGACTCCCTTTGCAGCTCCGTATAGGTCCTTTCAAGGTCCTTCCTTGACTTTCCTATTATATCTATGTCATTTGCATATGCAAGAATCTGGGTTGAGCGATTCAGAATGGTCCCATCTGTTCTAATTTTCGTTTTCTTTATTATAGCCTTCAGTGCGAGGTTAAATAGCAGCGGGGATAACAAGTCTCCTTGTCTCAAGCCTACATTGATTCTGAACGATGGTGAAATTCCTCCTCCTATCCTGACCGTGCTTTCCGTGCCCTGCACCGACAGTCCTACCATTCTTATGAGTTTTGTTGAAATTCCAAAGTCTTGCATGGCTTTCTACAGTTGACTCGTGCATATACTGTCGTATGCTTTTTCATAATCGATTTCATTAAAAAGATATATAATTTTATTCGTAAAAATTCATCACAAAACGAATACAAGTAAGTCACATTCCTAACAAATATTTTTTTTAATATAATACAAATGCCGCAAATTTCATAACTTTAACTTTAAAAGTTTTCTGAGTAACTTAGAATTATAATACTATTTTTATAATGAAAATGTCAAGGCTTCAATAATTTCTGAATAATTTCCAAATAAATGGTTAAAAAGCAATAATTTTCGCCAATCAAACTTCTAGTGAATAAATAACAAAATTATTTTATTCGGTCAATTTCAAATAGATTTTACTTTAACAAAAGTTTACTTTGAACTTTAATTGTAAAGATATGCTAAGAATTAAAAATTCACTATGAATAATGATCTCCCACGACTTTTTGCGAGAAAATGAGAGAAAATTGTCTCCTAATTGTTTAGAGCACTTCTAGATAAAATTAAACTCGCAAGATCTGGGAAATCTTATATATTATTATATTTGATCTTATAAATTATAAAACTAAACCATTCTTGTTACAAATTCTTTATTCATATTGTTTAGTTGTTTAAATATAAAATCACTAATTCGTAAAAATATTGTATAAATGAAACTAATTATGATTCGCCATTTATAACTGTATTTGCATAATTCGTTATAGCAAACGCATTCTCTTGCAATCACATTTCGATATTAAATTTATTTGCTTGATTTAACCCTTTTCGATAGCAGTTTATAAATTTGAATTAATAATGAACGGCGTTGGTTAGAAATAAATATAAATAATATCTTCTACTAGACACTCTGGTCGATTTCAAATTTTGATACCCTCGACTTTTTCAGTTAATGAAGGACATCGAATTCAATAATGTTCAAAAACCTATATCGCTACCAAATTGCGATGCTCCTGTTGCGGAACGTGCAAAAGTCTTAATTGTAGCTTGGGGTAGGCTCTTCAACAGAGGTCCCGTATCGAACGAGTTACAAGTGTTAAATACTTATTACATGACCAATACTGAATGTCAGAAATATCATACACAAATCATCCCTTCTATTTCATTCTGCACTTTCATAGCGCCCAGTCTAGGAACATGTAATGTATGTAATTTTGTAAACAATGTTTTACAATTCATGTTATATGTTATATTGTTATATGTTCTACAAACATATAATATTGTTTAGTTTTTTCTTACGGAGTTTAATTTGTTCATTATTGCATTAAGTTTTAAATCATAATTGTAATATTTAATTCTGTATTATAGGGTGACAGCGGTAGTGCTGTATTATACGGTGGTCAGATTATTGGTGTTGTTTCTGCCGGAAGGCCTTGCGCCATGGGTACTCCAGACATAAAAACAAAAGTTTGCTCTCATATGAATTGGATTCGAAATATCATGACAAATTAACTTTTCGGCTAAATTTATTGTAATGTTATAGAAAAATATCTCATCAGCATTACTTATGCATATACAAAAAAGCGTTGTGTTTTATTAGTATCAAAAATATACTTTTTAAAATCTTTCAGAAAAATAAATAAAAAACAGGGTGAAAGATTTGTCTCAATAAAATGGAATATTTTCAAAGCTAGAGATTGTGCTGATATTATAAACGAATCCCTCTCTGTAAAAATAATTCAGATACAAATAAATATGCATATATAAATAATTCATAAATAATTCTAATGTAATAAAAATAGTCGCACTAAATGTTAATAAGTTTTTCATAACATTCGAGTAGAATAACAATACGGGTTCTAACAAATTGCAAAAGCTTTAAGCAAAATCAGATATTTATTGGTTAAATATTTTTTTACCGATACTTGTTTCCGCAGAACAATGTTTTTTTATTACTTCTTTGGGCAAGATGGCGGCCATGACGTCTCGCATACGTCAAGAGAAAATGTATGTCAAGACGAAACCAGACTCGAACCTGGGCCCTCGGAATTATCATGCAACGGTCCAACCACTTCCAGACCACCGTAGTGGGTACCTATTGTTAATACGTATATATTGTACATTAATTAAAAATTAAAAATTCATTGAAAAATTAAATATAAAAATCGAAATTGGACATTCATTGATTAAATATTTTATCGATGCTCCTTTCTACAGAATTTTTTATCTCGTACTCTTTATGCTTGTACGTTTTCCTTTAGGTTGTTCTGGAATGTTTTACAATGTTTTAGAATGTGTTCGAGACTGTTAAGATAGACAACTTTTACCGTTTTTTATCAGATAGCTGAAGTATCTTTTTCTAAACAACGTGTCTTTCTCCAAACAAAAGATAAATTTGACTATATCGAACACATGATATCATGCCCATTAGATAATCTGACACCAATTATAACTCCTATATCTGTTGTTCCCTCCTATACGGTTGACATCACCTATACCTGCGTAGATATTTTTCAAAGATTAAACGTGAAAAGCAGCAGAAGGGAAACATATAGATTTAGTTTATGCGTAATATATTTCTCAATCGTAGCTATTTCAGTAGATAGATCGCGAGGACATAAAGCATGAAGAAGTAAAAGACGAAGAAATAGAAGACGAAGACATAAATCATATGCTCACAGACGACAGTAATTATGATAGTGATAATAATGATCAATTAGTGAGTAAAAAAGTGAAGAAATTAAAAGTTTCAGAAATTAATACTTTGAGTGGTCAAACAAAAGCGTGTTGCATTTATTTTTCATACAATACTGGAGACCATCTACAGTTCTGCACATTATGTTTTTTTGACGGCATATGCGATACAGTGACAGAAATATTTGTAGTGCGAAAACATATTACCGAAAGATACAATTGACGGTGTATTTTGTTCAAAATATAAAAACTCCGTCTATCAAATAATATCATGCTGTGTCCAATATGTATGCACTAACTAATTCAAACAAAGTTCTTATATACGGTACAAAACTTCGTTCAAGTTCAAAGTTTGAAAATCATTAATAACTCAGTTTATGCATGGTTAAGAATTCAAGCATACGAAGGATTAGTCACCATTTTTCAATAGACAAGTGTATGTGGGATTCTATAAATTAAGAAAGAAATGGAAGATTTCGCGCAAATCGAACGAGAATTGTTGGAGGAATCCATACGTCTGAATTCGCAAGAGGTTTACGATGCATGAGTGTAAAAGTATGACAAGTATATCAGATGTTTGGGAGAACAAAATAGAGCAAAACGACCGCGATTGTCGATCGACGCCGAACAATCAATGTTGGCTCGTACTGCATGACTCGAGGAATTGAAAATATCTGCAAGAACGCTTCATACACGTGAGTGCTGGATATGCATTAAGAAATGCAAAATTGGTATGAAAAGAAATTGATACGGCGTTCAAAAGCCACTTATTAACCGGCGCGGTTATCAACGTGAACCATATCGAACCTTTTCGATTTCTCCAAGCGAAAAGTACGGTGCTCGAACATATGCGAAGTGCTATGGAGAGACACGGCAATCTTAAGATGAACATTGTCCAATGGTGAGTTCATCGCGAGTGACAATCGCGTGTTCAAAAACATTAACACGAGAAACTGTGAACTTTTTCCAACTTCGGATTTGCAAGAATGGTATGAATAATGCATCATTGAGCTCACCTTAGCATTTTTGGAAGAGTTTCAAGAACGTGATAGTGATTTGGGCACTGTTGCGCATATTTGATCTCAGTCAATGTGAACAAATACAATCCACTGTATGCAGGGTGCAACATCGAATTACCACGCGAAATAATCCAGATAGCACACAGGTAAATGGAAGTTCATATTAGGTATACAACTTTGCTTCCGCCGTTTTTTTTTCCGAAATTCGAGGCTTTATTGTAAAAAACTGGTTGTACATTTATGATTCAAAGTATTGTCCATCGCTGGCCACTATTTTCTCCCATCTTTCAGGCAGCGTACGAATCCCGCGTTGAAAAAACTGATCATCTTTTGAAGCGATCCACGAATCGATCCAATTTCTTACTTTTTCATAAAACCGGAAGTGCTGGTCAATCAGGCCGTGTGCCATTGATCGAAACAAGTGATAGTCAGAGGGAGCAACGTCTGGAGAATACGGCGGGTGGGGTAGGACTTCCCATTTCAACGTTTCCAAGTATGTCTTGACCACTTTCGCAACATGGGGTCGAACATTGTCATGCTGCAAAATCACTTTATCGTGTCTCTCGTTGTATTGTGGCTGTTTGTCTTTCAATGCTCGGCTCAAACGCATTAATTGCGTTCGATAACGATCGTCTGTGATTGTTTCAGTCGGTTTTAACAGCTCATAATATACTACACCTAGCTGGTCCCACCAAATATAGAGCATGACTTTGGAGCCGTGAATATTCGGTTTGGCCGTCAACGTGGAAGCATGGCTGGGATATCCCCATGATTTTCTGCGCTTGGGGGTATCGTAATGAAACTATTTTTCGTCCCCAGTCACAATGCGATGCAGAAATCCCTTCCGTCTTTGCCTTTCAAGCTACTATTCACAAGCAAACAAACGCCGTTCAACATCTCTCGGTTTCAACTCGTACGGTACCCAATTTCCTTGCTTCTGAATCATTCCCATGTCTTTGAGGCGTTTTGAAATTGCTTGTTGAGTCACTCCCAATGATCGTGCGAATTCTTTTTGACTTTGACACGAGTCTTCATTAAGTAATGCCTCCAATTCTGCATCTTCGAAAACCTTCTCTCTTCCACTGCTATGCCGGTCTTCGACGTGAAAATCACCGTTCTTGAAGCGTTGAAACCACTCACGACACGTTCTTTCACTAATGCGGCCTCACCATAAGTATTTGAGAGCATTCGATGAGCCTCAGCCGCAGATTTCTTCATATTGAAGCAGAAAATTAAAACCTCCCGCAAATGACGAGAATTTGGCTCGTAAACTGACATTTTCAATCGAGAATAACTTTATGATGCAGACACAAATCGACTAATGTTTCTATGGGGTTATGTTGACAGATGCCCAAGTTTATTGCATGACGTCTGTGATCCATTTATTTCGACCATTACTTACCGCTAAAGCCATCAATAGGAAAACGGCGGAAGCAAAGTTGTACACTTAATAAAAAATTCATTGTAAAGAGTACTTGCAGAATGAATAAAATGAATATCTGAAGAATACTTAATAAATTACCTACAATTAAGTTCAGCTTGAAATATTCCTCAAGAAGTTATTATAATGAATACTTCGCGCAGTATTTATAAACACGTACGGAAGATCGTTGATTGACTGTTCGAATCATGCATCCTCCGTCCGGCATGCTCATTTCCATACCGTGTGATCTCATCTTTGGAACACAGTCTTCAACGCATATGTGAATATACAAATTATTTTGTACAAGGCGTTATCCACGTTATCCAATATTTCGTGTAGTGTTTCAGTTACTTTTATTATTTCTGAGACCTGATACTTGAATAACTTGAGTATGAGGAGAAAGAACAATATGGACTATAAATATTTCATGTAATAAATAAGTAAGGTAAATTGATTTAATTTCTTATATGAGTATACATTTTTCCTCAAATTTACTGTATAACCTCAAAATCAATATTATTGATCAGTATTATATTGGGTGAGTGCAAAAGTTCGTGCGGAGTTTCAATAGATGGAGTTATAAGCGTCGTAAAGTGTTGTCATTAATACTTCCATCTACATATTATATAACGTTGAAAAGGTGACGTCTTCAGCTGTTATTAAAAAAAAAATCATTTGTTTTCATACAAACTGCTTCGAGAAATATCACTTTAAAAATGAGTATCGATAAGGTGCATTTACGGCATGTTATGCTTTACGAGTTTCGGAAGGGAATAAACGTTGCCGCAGCCGTAAAAAACATTCAGGATGTTTATCAGGATGAAGCACCAGCTAAACGAACTGTGGAAAAATGGTTTGCTAAATTTCGGCGCGGAGAATTTAACCTTGAAGACGAGCCACGCTCTGGTCGACCTTCTGACATTGATGACGATGTTTTGCGTACTTTAGTGCTCAATAATCCGCGAATTTCAACAGAAGAAGTTGCTACAGTATTAAACGTTGACCAATCAACCGCTTTTCGGCGTTTAAAAAAGATGGGATTCGATTTGAAGCTCGATATATGGGTGCCCCATTTGCTGACCGAGAAGAACAAAATCAAGCGAATTTCTGCAGCCGTTTTACTCGGGCGGCTCAATAACGAGTCGTTTTTGGATCGACTAGTGACGGGCGATGAGAAATGGGTCCTCTCCAACAATGTTCAGCGCAAACGGACATGGAAACAATCAGGTGAACATGGTGACGCAATGCTAAAGGCCAGTTTGCACCCGATGAAGGTGATGCTCTCTGTTTGGTGGGATTGCAAGGGCATAATCTATTTCGAGCTTCTCCCCGCTGGCGAAACGATTGATTCGGACAAGTACTGTCGCCAATTAACCAATCTGAATCGAGAAATAAAAGAGAAATGTCCGATTTTGTCAAATCGCAAGGGAGTCGTCTTTCAT